ACACACACACACACACACACACACACAAATAATACACCAGGTATCCAGAGTAGAGATAAAGAGATAAAGGACAAATAAGAAAAAGTCTCCAAGGGCTCACACTTTAATCCACACTCTTCCATCCTACAGCCTTTTCCAGGGACATTCATGTCCACATTACCTGATTCCCACATTACCTGCTTCCCGCCCCTAGAGAAAAACACATGAGCAGAGAAACATCAGTACAAACACAACCGTGTCAGCTGTCACCAGAATATTAATCACTGAAATAGAAAGTACACCTTACTTGGATTGGTTTTCTGGCAAATGTTTACATCTCTAAAATCTGTGTTCATGGTAACTGAAGATAACACTGCTGTGAATTCTCCTGTCATGAAAGCTTGCCTTACCATGGATTACTCAGTGATGGATATTCCTAAATTCAACCTTTCAATGTATAGCAATATGACATATCAAATATCCAACAGATAATTCTACTATGTTTCAGTAAGATCCTAGGTACTTTAAGAATAATAATAAAAATCTTTGGAAATGCTAACAAAACTTGCAGAAATTTTTTGAGAGCCAAGATATATCAGGCTAAGGATCTGAACTGTGAGTGGTGAGGAGGCAGGAAGTAGGGGTGATCTGGGGACACGTTTCGATGGCAGTGCTCCCATCTATAGGACTCAGCACTAGATCTAACAAAGCATGTAGAAGTCTGGACAGAAAGTTTAAATGTTTACTGAATGAATGAAAAAACTGCTAAGTGGAAAGACTAGCCCACTTACAAATAAAAAACACAAAATAGAAAATAAGTCAATTCTTCCCAGTGTGGTCTGACTCAATATACCAATCGAAATCCCAGCAGCTATTTCTCTGGATAGTGGAATGCTGAATCTATAGTTTGGATTAAAAGTAAAGGCTCAATAATACGCAAGATCCTTCCACATATAAATATGGTGAGGACCTTGGCCTACCAGATACCTAGCTTGATAATCAGACCTTAAGGGGAAAAGACAAACTACTTAATCAATAGTCTTGGGAAAACTGGGAAAAAATTAATTTGAATCGCAGCCTAAAATTATATACTAGCATCAGTTGCAAGTGAATTAAACACTTAAATGTGAAAGGTAAAACAGAACCATTTATAGTAGTAAAATATATTTTAAAGTTTGTGTATAGTCACACAGTAGAAGAGGATCTCTTAAATCTAACACCACAAAATAGTAGAAGTAATTGAAAGGAAAGTTGGCTTTGACTACAGTAAAATTAAGAATTTATAAAATACATTATGAGTTGTAAGGTGTAAAAAGATATTTCCATTATGTAGGACTGAACTACATTAACACGAAGTATAAGTAACCTAGGAATCAACTGATGAAAGTAAGACCGTGCTGAAGGTGTGAATAGATATTCCGGGGAGAAGGGAGGATGGTGCGGGCATCCACAACCGGGCATGCTCCTCAATGGAACACACATGGGCACCACTTTACACCCACTGTTTGCCTGAAACTAGGACATCGTTACTTTCACATTTGTCCTGAAAAATGGACTGGGGGGCTCTGATTGATGATAAAGGTCTAAACGGACACAACTATTTTGGAAACGAGTGTCACACCTTTATAAAACTGCCACTAGGACTTCCCACACTCCAGCAGTTTCACTATCCTGTGTCAGCTCTGCAGATGGGGCACCAGGGATCCTACAGGAGGCTTTATGCTGAGCTACATCCCCAGCCCTTTGTAATTGTGTGAGACAGGCTCTCACTAATCACTAGACTTGAATTTGAGATCCTCCTGCTCAGTCCCTCAGAGTGCCGGGATCACAGGTGTGCACACCACACCCAGTTTAACCATATTCTTGCACACATGCACCAGAACATTTGTTCTAGAAAATTCAGCAGCACTATTCATAGTAGTAACCATCTAGGAGCAATCCAAACACTAACTGCCAACAGAGGATAAATGGATTGAGAGACAGCCTCCTGACAGAGTATCTAATTTTGAACAGAGTAGTCTCCTCTTACGCTGCTGTGGTTGTCATCATCTGTGTTTCCAGTTATACATGCTCAGCCACAGTCTGCAAATACTACAGGGAACCTTCCAGAAGTAACAACTGATACATTTTAACCCACTGCTCATCTACATAGCATGGTAAAATCTCGTGCCATCTGGCCCTCCAGGAATGAGTCCTCGGTGCAGTGACCTCAGCTCAGCGTGCGGCCTCCCTGTGGATCACCCAGTGGCCGTGTGTCATCGTGGGGACTGCGACAGCACGGCCTGGGCTTCCTCACCTTGGTGCCCTCTACCAAGTAGCCCAACACGGCACCACGGTGTGTCCTTGTCACACACCCCACTCATTACCTCGTCTGCACAAGGTAGGTGAACACAGTGAAGAAAGACTGAGAGAGAGACCGCATTCACGCAGCGTGCGGGGATTGTTCTATTGCATAGTTACCCCCTTCCTGTGTGGAGTCTACACATTAAACTTCATCACCAGTAGGTAAAGTACGGTCAGACTTCTGTATCTGTGAGTCCCGCATCAGGCAACTCAATGAATCCCATAGGAAAATGGTGAGGCAAAGGTTGGGGTTGTCCTAAAAATGCACAGATGTGTTTTTCTCATTGATGTTGCCTAAGCAGCGCAGGATAGCCACTAATTAAATAGCACTAATAGTGTATCGGCATGACGTGCACTCTGCAGGTGGTGTAAAATGCACAGGAGAAAGTGTTACACAGAAACACTCCTCACTTCACATAAGGGACCTGAACATCCACGGGCTTGGGGATTTGGAACCAGTAACCCAGGTGCCCTGTGAAAGGACTGCAGAGGGGTGCACTGCCTGCGCTCACTGGTAGCCCCTAGAGTCTCAGGACACAGGCGGGTGGATAACCAGGAACAGTGTAACACGACCTGACGCTAAATGCATTCAGGTAAGTCAGGTCGACTTAGTGTGGACACTGAAAAGCAAGTTGACTACACACAGAGTGCTAAGACGGTAAGAAAGCTCAGCAGTATACAAAATAAATACCTCTCTTGGCAAAGCAGTCATGTGAGCTTCAAATATTTTCATACAACAAAGAAGCTGTTAATTATGATTGAGCACACTGGCCTCCTCTGCAGGGAGGCAGGAGGACGAGGTAGGAGGTCCTGAAGTTTAAGGGATCAGCAATGCTTGTGGGCATCACACTGCATGAGACACTGCACCACCTTCACTGTAGAGTTCTACACAGTGACTTACACGTGTATGAGTATCTGTGTTCCTCAACTAGTATGTGTATTATAAAGTAGAGTAACATAAAAGCTAGTATGTCGAGATCACCTATCTGGTTACTTTTGGTCCCCAGTGAAACCAGGAAATCACAATTTTCATGAACACATTAGATAAACATGGTTACCATGGTAAAGAAAGCAGACCAAACAAAACCTCCCCCCAAAGCACGAGCCAATAAACAGGAGGTAAGCAAGGGCGAACAACAAGAGGAGCAGATCCAATCTAAACTCACCTCCAGCGCTTTCGATCTGTTGCTTAAAAGTTTTTCAATATCCCTGGCTGCGATCTCCACCAGCTGCCGGGCGTTATTTGGCTCCACAGTATACAAATCTTGGTATTTCTCGTAAATCTGTGTGAAAGGAAAGAACCTTATTAAGAGCACGCACTCTTTCCTGGGCTCACAGCCCCCCACTGCAATGTACGTACAACAGCAAAGAGTGGATTGAAAAGGCCCAACCTCTTTTTTCTGTTTTGATCTCTTTTGAAGTCTGGGGATATCAGGAAAGCATGTACACCAGTAAGTTCCTTAGAAAACTACCACCTTGTTAACCCCGATAAGCACGGTGAAACGTCTCGTTCCAGGCAGTGTGCATGCGCGACCTCGAGGCTTGAGGCTGTACCGCATCCCAGCTTCAAAACTTGACTTTAGTCATCATTTCACAAAAAAGGAGGCCACGGCAGATACAGGGGGAGGCTGGAGTGGGGGCGGGGGTCTACCTGGGAGCACGGGGCCCAGAGCTGGGCGGGTCTGTGACATGAGTCGCTGCTCAGCCCAAGGGAGGCCGGGCTCAGCTGGAGGTCACCTGGGCCTTAGAGACACTTCACAAGCAGAGGGCTGGAAACTGCCCACGTTCACGTAGAAGTTCTAGTTAGAACCATAAGGACATATTTATTTCTTATCAAATTAAAGTTGCCTTTGTTGAATCAAACTACAGTAAACGAACGCAAGGTGCAAAAGCAAAACCGCGCCTTGTGTCTGGCTCGCACGCGTGTCAGGGAGGGTTCCCCAGGTACAGGGAACAGCTGGGCTCGGGCTGTGCTCTCCCAGCAGGAGGGGAGCCAGGGGACCAGCAGAGTGGGGGAGAGGCAGGGGCAGTGCTCCCGGCTGCAGGGTGCGCGGGAGGAAACCCCTTCTGCACTGCACAGATGGGGTGCACACGCATGACTGAGCCCCGCCAAAGCCAGGGCCTGGCAGGTCCTCCGTCCTAGGGGAAGTGAGTCCAGCACATGCCGGAACCAGCTCAACCCTGCTTCGATCTGGCACAACTCCAGCCTCCTGCTCCACTGCCAAAAGGTCTGCGACCTCTTTACACCAGCTTCGGCAGACACAAGTGCTTATGCTAACATTGATCTAACAGAGGGCATGATTCCCTGTGAGCCTGTGGCTTTTTAAGGGATTGATAGATAACTGAGATTTGAACGTATTTAAACTGTGTTTTCTTTCTAAAACTGAATTATTAAAACGCCTATGTTTGGCCATACTCATTAGAACATTGCATTTGTATGTTTTTATTCTAATTATTTAAGACTCATGAATTTAATGATATGAAAATTCTGTATTTGAGAGCTCGGTTGCTAGAGCACTTGCCTGCCTTGTGCAAGACCCTGGGTTTGATCGCCAGCACTGTAAACAAAACAAAACAAAACAAAACAACTCGGTATTTGGGGTCACCCAGAATTCTCCCGTCTTGGGATCGCTGACATTTTCACAGGGCAGACTGCGAGCTCCTTTCTGAGACATCGAGGCGATGCACGAAGAGCTCCACCCAGCACAAAGCCCCTCCCTTCATTTCTGCTTCCGGTCAGACTTGGGAACATGAATACCTCAGTGCATGGATTGATCTGGGTTACACACAGATAAACCTCAACATCGCGTTAATTGATCCAGGATATTTAGTTCTCTGAAGTGAAACCAATAGAGTTAATTGGTGTGAAATGCAGTTGGCTTTGTACCAATGATATCTTCTAACGGCAGTGCTGCCCTCTACAAAATCCAACTTCCTTCCTGTGGTGTAGAAAGAACAACACGCCTTGCATTTGCAGAGGTGACTTCAGGTGTAAACGTGTACGCTGTGCATACTACAGGACGCCATTCAGTACGTCACACAGGTAGTTCAATGATTTAAGAATGAAGGGGTGTAAAATAATTTATTTCAAATATATACAGCCTCCAAATATATAAAGAATAGTCTCAATTTCTCCTGCATGCTAATTTTAAATACTAAAGAAACGCTATGGTTTGAATCTTTTTTTTTGTTTGTTTTTTTGTTTTTTCTCCGGTACCAGGAACCGAACTCACGACCTTGCGCTTGCCAGGCAGGCGCTTTGCCACTGAGCTAAATCCCCAGCCCCTATGGTTTGAATCTTGAGTGACCTCCAAAGGGCCAAAGGTAAACAGCTCGGTTCCCGGGGAGCAGGATTTGGGGCAGTGGGGTCTGATGTACATCCTCGGGTCATTGGGGGCATACCCGAGAGAGGACTGTCGGGACCCTGCTCTTCCCTGTTTCCGGCTGCCATGTGCTACCACTGCCCTACTAAAACCCAAACGCTCAGCACTATCCATCACAGTCCGGGGCCTTCCCATCCACAGCCAAAATAATTCTTTCACCTTTCTGGGCTGGTTCTCGCAAGTGTTTCATCACAACCATGGCAGGGTGGCTGCACAAGAGATGCAAGCAACACCCAACAGAAATGAATCTTAAATAGAAGAAGTCAAGGAAGCTTAAGTCTACAGTCCTAATGTCAACACCTGGCCATACCACTAATAGAAAACCACAACTGGAATACATTTCTGTTAATAGAAGTGAATTAACATTATATGGAAAAGTTTCCTGAGGAGGTCTCACATATATTTTTAAAATTACATGATACATTGTAATCATAAATATATTTCTCTTTTCATCACTAAAATAACCAATATTTCTATACTATTTAACATGTCAATATATTAATATTTAAAATGTTGTCTGATGTATCGTCTCTCTTTTCTAGTTGTATTCCTGTTTTCTAAATGATTATCTGCTTTGTCATTTGATCCAATTTCTTTCCTGAAGAAAACAACATATTGGAAATAATATGAGGTTTTGGCTCCAGACAGGGATCCATTAAAATCATGTCAACACCTCACACTTGTGAAATTGGCCTGTGTTTCTTCTCCTAGATAGATAAACTGAATAGAGAGAATCCGGGACAGGATATTTCCCTTCAGAGCAGTACACTAACGAAAACGCTTTAGTTTTCGTACTTCTCAGGGCCTCCTCCTGCCCCCTTGACACACACAGTCTTAACAAAAAGAGGACCTGTCACCGAACTCTCTTTCTTAGAATCACAATTGGCTTTCATGTTCTTTGACTGCCACATTAAAGACAAAGCTTCACTACCAGCACATCACAGGAGAGAGCTGTCTTATCTACCGCACTGGAAATTTCTTTCAAATCTCTACACTAAATTAAGTCCATGGTTCCAGACAATTTTCAAAAAAATACACTTAAAAAAGTACTCTAAATGTACTACATGGAAAGGGACACCACTCGTGGGTACAAATGGTCAACAAAATTCCTGAAGAAATATTTTAGAAATTAGACTGTATACCATCATGCCATGAAATTACTTCCTAAAGTAATACAGATATCCCAAACATACTAACAAGAAAGTGAATGTATCTCCACTTTTGGATTCCTACGAGACTGTTAACCAGCAACTAGTTTTAGGAAGTTATTGTATACCACATTTAGGATTTCACACATATTATACTACTTCTTCAAACCAAGAAAGATAAATACATTTTGACCCCTCTGCTAGGTTAGTTAAGGATGAGCCCCATTTCATGATGAAAGAGCAATCTACCGCTCTGCCAGCAGCAGATGAAATGTAAGCTGGCTCAATCACGCAAAGTGCGCATGGCCGTGGTACACCCGGGCTCGCCCGCAGTGCAGCAGGATGCAGGGATACAGGAAAAACCCTTAAAGGGAGACAGGTACTGTAAGAGCAGCACATCTTCTAGGGGTCACCCTGGGAAGGGCTAGGGGTTCTGAGGGGTGAGCAGGAGCAGGCATGGCTGTAGGTGAAGTGGGGTACCCAGAGCTGAGGGCCCTGAAGCTGCCTGAGGCCCTAAGAGAATACAGAAAGGCAGCCAGAACTTGGAATTTACTCAATGGGTCGTGGACTATAAAAGAGACTAAGTTTCCAGCAGTAAAATTAATTTCCCCACCCATGGGAAAGAAAGAGACAGCATCTAAGCAAGTTAAATTCCCTACAAGAGAATCACAGTCAGATTTCCGCCTATTAACCATGTAAACCTTGACAACCCCTCCTCCAATACTTGTGTGTCCACTTCCTTCACAAGGAACTCGTCTTGGTCCGGCCATCAAGAATTCCACAGGAAGTTTCCCCTCTGACACTCCAGATGGAACAGGAGTCCTAGGCGCTTGGCCACGAGTGCCCGGTGATACTCTAATGAGTGGCCTTGCTGTGGGCCCCTGAGGAACTGCAGGAACTTGCATCAGCCCTCCAGGAAGCCAACTCCCGAGGCAATAGCTGTGAAGAGGTAGGAAGAAAAGTTCTGTACAAACATGACAAGGACGGTGCGCGGGGCCGGTCAGATTCTCTCAGCCTCAGATAACAGCGTACGGAATAGCACAGGCAGGAGGAGGAGCAGAAATGAAGTCCATTTGAGGAAAGCAGTATTCAGGAAGAGGGGGCAAAGGAAAGGATGGCTGCTGCGGGCAGATCAACAGCCTCCCCGGGATCTCCACATCCGGGTCCCCGGAACCTGTGAGTGTGCTGTTCTACCGCAAACCAGAATCATCTGCAGAAGGAACTACCTTTGCTCATCAGCTAAATCACGGGTCCTTGATAATGGAAGACAGACAAAGCCGTGAGGAAGCCGGAGAAACGTGAGCCTGAGAAGAAAGCAGCCCAGCATCGCTGGCTTTGAAGACAACAAGGGGCGACACAAGCAAGGAATGACAACACTGTGACAATAAACCTGCACTGTTTTAAGCCAGTAAACATACACAAGTTTTCACGCAATGACTTAGTCACCCTCAGGTCCTCCCTGATGAGAGCAAACCACAATAATTGGTGTCTGGAGACACCGTGGCTCTGGGCCATGATTCTACTGACCAAAGTATCATCTAAACCCCCAAGTTCTTGCTCCAATGCACACTCCCACTGAGTTCCCTTAAAATTCTCAAGTTTTCCATAAGTAGCTCTGCAATAAACTTGCCAAGTGATTCACTGTTCCTAAAAAAAAACAACTCCAAAGACAACCTCCGTGTTTCCAAGGTGTGACTAAGAGCGTGCCTCAGGCAGGACTGCACTCTCCTCCACCAGCCACTGGAGTCTGAT